GAACTGGTTTGAATCGCCTGAAACGCGAGGACATGGCTGTAATCCCGACAAAATCAATCCGGCTGAAAAAATGCACTATACAATATGCAGATGCAAATGCAAAATGAAACGAAACATAAGGCAAAATACGAGAAATGGTTGGTCAAATTTTTGGGGTACAACAAATACAACTTAGGCCATAAATTTACATTTTGAAACCGGTAACTCTTCACATCGGGGAGTTATCACATTGTTCTTGTATTGAGTTTGGATCAGTTTATTTTTATAGCTTTTAATCCTGCTACCATTTACTTTCCGTTGAAGTTTATTTTCTTTATCAAATTCAAGCCTCCGATTGGAGCAGGTTCTTAATATATTCTGCATTAGTTACTTTATTTCATCGCACTGTCTTCCTTTATTAATTTTCTCGCACTGCTTTACTTTATTTATTTCATTGCCCTGCCTTACTTTGATTTATTTCCATCGCACTGCTTTATTTTGTTTACTTTCATTGCACCGCTTACTTTATCGCTTTGCTTGCATTATTTACTTTCATTACAACCATTTTATTTTAAAATCACTTATTATGTTTTAATTCCTTTTTACAAAAATAAAAATGTTTATCGTAACCATGTCCAGCTAAATCATTAGTGTTGGAATGTGAGGACCATCAATTCGATGGTACTCCAAATGTTGTTTCTTTAGGATTTCTATTGGGGTTGTTTTGATTTTAATACAATTTTTTGTGTGTTTAACTTGATCGGTTTACTATGAAAGTAGGATCAGGACCATGTCGGGTAAGATTGAAAGTCGTCCGACACTTAAGATTAAAATTGATTATTTCTTGGTTAATAAAAAATAGCGAAAACACTTTGTTAATTAATTAGGAGAGTTTAATATTTCTAGAAGTTAAATTTTCCAATCAAGATTACAATTTTCAACTGAGTCTTAGAGGTAGTTACATAAATTTTTTTCTTCACTTTAAACGCAATATGCGACCGGTGCAGCGTGAGCGGCTGGTATAGATTAGAGGTCAAATCTGATTCCGATTACGCTAATGCGACGATTCCTTTTTAATTAACTCTTTTTCAAGGAAGAAAACATTGCCCCTTAGGTAGTTCTGATTAGAGAAAATATGAGTACTGTTGATTGATGAGAGCCACATTCCAATATTTCATCTTTGAAAAACTTTATTCTTTTCATTTTGTTCCCATTATAAACCTTTTTAATTTCCGCCTTAGATAAACACACCTAACAATAGTTAACGATAGATTAACCATTAGGTCCCCTGTGAGTCCGACAACCTTTTGTATTACTCTGACGTACTCTGTATACTTGCAGAAAGCACACATCATCATTCAAAGGCCAAAGACCACGAGAAAAAGAGAACTTAGGTCTCAATACCATAAACACCTTATATTACAATATCTCTCACTTTTAATCATTCCTTCAATTTTCATATAGGTAGGGGTGTTCGCGGTTCGGTTTGGACCGACTTTGAAGCAAAATATCATCCGATCCAAAAGTAAATTTACTTATGATTTGGTTCGGTTTTTGATGATTGATTCAAAAAATCTGATCTGATCCGATCCAATTTAATGTGGTTTAATTTGGATCGGTTTTTTTGGATATTTAAATTACAAATTATAGCTTTTATTAATATTCTAAAAGTACTAATAAATAATAAGTTTGACATAATGTATAATATACTATATCAAAAGTTAATATTACAAGGTGAAAATAATAAAAATGAATAGATTAAACCAAACTAATAAATATTATTTAAAAAGATAAGTATCATCTAATATTAAAGTAATACTACTACAACATATATACTAATAAAAAATATATACACACGGTTTGGTTTCGATCGATTTTAAAAAATCAATCCAAAATCCGATTCGAACCAAGCAGTTTTTACAAAATGACATCCAAATACATCCAAAATTTTTTAGTTTTTTTTCTTCCAGTTTTTGGATCGGTTTGTGGTTTTTATTTGAATTGATTTGGATTTAAACACCCCTACATATAGGACGTTAAATCCACATACCAATCCCAATTCATTTCAAAAACAATTCCATCAACATACAACTTCACTGGATGATAAATCAAATGTTTCCTATGATGTATTCTAAGTCTAACCACTTGATTCTCAATTGGCCTACACAAACAAAACATAACACAATTTAGTTGAAACCAAAACATAAATGAGACCACAAGTAGGAACTATAACAGAACACAACATAAACATATATGCAAATAAGAAACCACAAAATAACACAACACAAACGTATTTTCCAGCATGAAAAAACACAATATCTACAAACATAAATAATTCAGAACTTAGGAGCACAACTAATCACAAACATAAACAAATATGCCAGTAGACCACAACAAAATGAGATACACACCTGAAAACATAAGATGAGTTTGACATTTCAAAGACACATAAGATTTGTGAACGCATGATTGCAATGTGTACGAAGAGCAGTTGTGAGGAACGATGAAAACGACGATCACAAAGAGCACGGAGAATAGTTAGGATTCAATATGTTAAGTGTTTGATTTTGTTTAATGTTGAATGTTTGTTTACCTATTCTAATTTTTGATAATTTAACTATTAAAAATATAAATCTTAATGAAATAATATTAAATTTAACAAAATAAAATAATTTTAAATGAAGAATGTAACGTGAAAATTAATAGACAACTTGAATATTTCATGTCATCAATCAATATGTCATGTCATTTAAAATTATACTAAAATTGGAAAGTGGACCAAAATTAAAATAAAATAAAATAACAAAAAAAGAAACCAAAATTCCAATTTTTAAAATGAGAAAATTAAAAATAAAATAAAAAACAAAAATAGATGACCAAAATTATAATTAAACATAAAAACATATAAGTTTAGTTATTACAAATTTAAAATTTAAAGAGTCAAATGATAAATTTAATTATATTATTATTATTATTATTATTATTATTATTATTATTATTTAGAAAAATATTAACTTGTGTGCAAAGAGCACATGTTTAGGAATTCAATATGAAATATTTATTTTAATTTATTTTTCAATTTTTAAAATTTAAAATTTTATTTTCTTCAATAATAAAATTTTATTTTTAAGTTCCTTAACTGACACTTTTTTAATATAAATTAGAATAGAATAATTATATTATTATTATTATTATTATTATTTTTTATTTTAAAAGAATAATATATATTAATAATATAAAAGAAATTTACACTGTGAATTAATCACCGCTAATTCAATCTGTAATTTTTAAAATATTTATATAAATAACAAACTAATATATTTTTATTAGATTACACTGTAATAGATCTTCTTTAAACTCTTTTGTTTTTGTTGATGTTGTTAGAAGAAATCTAGAACACATAGGTCCAATGATATCCACGTGCCGATTTATGAGTGCCATTGATCTTTACCACGTGATCTGAAGTAACATTGTAGTGTCCCTCCCCTCGGTAAGCACCGCTCACAAAAATCTAATGTTGTCTGTTGAACTCTATCAAACACAACAACTTTCCAGACTATTCAACCGTTATTCACTCTCTCCTGCTGTTCTTCCTTCCTACTCTCTGTAAGTTTTTGCATCGCACCTTGTTTCTTTCTTTAACCGCAATTGCCTTTTACCACTCTTAACTTTCATTATTACTTTTTTTTTTCGGTGTTTTTCGGGAAATAAAAGAGAATTTCCTTAAGCATTTTAGTTAAGAATTGAAAAGATAAGGTTTTGGTTTCTCATACTGACAACGATTCCATGCCTGTGTTGTGTTTGATGTTATGTGCCTATGAAAACTTGTTTTGAGTTAGGACTGTGATATGACTTTGTTGATGTTCTCAGATAGAATAGTCTTGTGGTGGATAATTATTATGAATTGGAGTTTTTTTTTATTGCTGATTGAGGGAAAAAAAAGTAGCAATAATTGTAGATGAAATGAGTGAATGTTTTTGGTGTGATTTATGATATAAAAGTACTACCAAAGCTTAAAGAAAATTTTTATCACACAGCCATAGAATCTACAAAATAGTAGTGTGCTAGCAACACTCACTCTAACACTTTCTTTCCAACATTCATGCTTATCGGATGAAAATCATGTGGGTCTCACCACTTTATGATGATCTATTTTTAATATGGTGGGACCTATATGAATTTCATCTAATAAGATAATGAGAGTGAGTCTTGCTAGCACTCCTTAAGAGACAATGCTGTAGGGGATTGAATGTAGGGTGGAAAAGAGCCAACAAAAAGTAAACTTTTTTAGGTTTCAGGTTGTACCTAACTTAACCGGATTGTAAGTAAGATGAATGATGCCTTCTACTTATAAACATATTTCATGCTCCATTTCATCTGTTACGAGACTCTCAACAAACTTAGGGTCACATAGATGAGAATATTTAGACTGATGAGTGGCCACACTAGTAAAAAGATAAGATTACAAATTGGAATGATTCATATCCTAGATAAGATGGTAGAATGGAATCCTGTCTTAAGTGGTTTGTTAATTTTTATAGCTCTCTTTTTCTTCTGAGTTAGAGATTTCATCATTATCTATTGTAGGCAGTTTGCAGTAGGCCGTGAATTAAGGATATAAAGATTGTCAGCCCTACAATTTGGAAACTAAAACCTGTCATGTTTAAGTCATTCTTTATTCTAACTTTTGGTGTTTGTTGTAAATATCAATATATGGCCAATAAGTTTGTAACACATTGTGAGATTGTATGTAATATTTTTTTCGTTAAAGTCGGTTATCCTAAGTTTGTACATTTTGGTTTTCTAGTGTTTATTGTTAAGAAATGTGGTTGGGCCTAACTCAATCCTACAAAACCGGTTGGTAGAGTGAGAATTGCCCCCACTTATAAACACATGTTCATGCCATATATTATCCGATGTGGGACTCTTAACATTTATTTTGTTGTAAATTTCAACATATTTGCTGGATTAGGTCCTAAAGTTCCCTTTTCTCATATCAACAGGGGAAGTAAAACCTCTTCATGATGGAAATCAATATTGCAAGGTGAGCTTACACTGAAAATATAATAGCGTACATAAACATTGAAGGCTTGAAAGTTTAAAGTTTGAGTTTTTTTTGGTGAATTCTTGGTCATGATTCTTTCATAATTTAAATAGGTGTCATCATCTAGAAGCACGAGGGATATTCTTTTCCAACATTTTGAGAACAAAAGGAAGGGAAAATTCTCATAAACTTCTGTGCAATGTAGTGTCCCTGAATTCAAGATGGGACTTTCACATATTAGCTTCTTCCTGTCAAATGTTTACCGCAGTGTATCCAAGAAGACCAGTTTTCTGTAGAATACATTCTATGGCAACTGGGCTAGAGAAATCTGAATCATTACAAGGAGATAATCCTAACAAGGATGTGGATCCATCTACAGACTCAGAAGACGAGAGATTGTCACAGTCACTTACCAGTGAACAGGTATTTCTTAACATTTATTTGATTGTTCTAATCAAGTAACCATGCTATTTTTCTCTATTTCAAAAACAGACGAAGCTGTTTTGAAATTTTAGAATTCCCTTCAAAGCATTACCTTGTGAACTATAAATAAATCTTAAAATGTTAAAAACCACTCTCATATTTGTTGTCTGGGTTTATTAATTTCTGTTGTAAATTTGCAATTATAAGATTTTTTGTATAGGCCCATTAATCAGGCTAATTAGTTAGAGTTTGTCTATATACTGAGATTAGTGCTCGTATTCTTTACACAGTTATTAATATTCAGATTATTTTTTCTACAATTTCTAAATTAAGAAAAATCAACCAGAACGAATCGTTTAGCCAAGTTCCAAAAAATAAACACCTTTTTTTGTGTGTCCTGTGAGGTGACTGCAGTTATGGTGTGTATTTGTATGTTCCTTTTTACTTCTCTTGAGTCTTTTTTTGGAAGTGGGGAAGAGGGCTTCATGAATATGTGACTCATAATTCCTAACAAAGGCAAGTTTGTATATAATCAACATCAAGTTCTTTAAGTTATGAAGTTCTAAGTCTGAATTTGATGATAACTGTGCAGTACATTGAGAATACTTGATGGGGAAAAAATCATCTCACATTTTAAGTGTGCATGCAACTTATCTTACTTAGATCTTCAGTTTCAAATTGTGTTGAGCAGATAAAGGTATTGCTTGCTGATACTCAAAGAGCAAACCTCACTAAGAAGCTTAGTGAAGCCAACCAACAAAATAGGTTCCTAAAAAGACAGGTGTGTATGTGTTTGTGTACCTGAGATCTTTTGCATTACCATTAAATTGAAATCTAGTTGCAGTTTTCTTTTTGATAGCAATGGTTTTTGTTTTGGGAGTTTATGCTATATCCTAAATGATCAGAGTTGGATCACAATCTTGTATAAAAGATATTGTAAATTTTATTAGAGCAAAACTAAAGATATATCTATGGGGAGAACGTGTGTTGGATGTCAATACTAGCCCCTTGGCCGAGTTTAGTCGATGCAATCTGGACGCAGTATCTTACTTTTATGATGTCAACGGAAAATGTGATTGAGATGGTTTTATTACTGAACTTATATGTAATGCTGATTTCTGACTATATAAAAGGGAAATATTTTTCTAATTTGAGACTGTATAGTTCGAAAATATAACGAAGATGTACAAAAGGAAAAGGCCATTGCAGTAAACTGTAATTTCAACTCTTTTTCTCTGCAGTTGTATATAAAGGAGGATGCATTGGTAAAATTTAAAAGTGAACTTGCTGTCCTAGAGCTTGAAGTTCAGGTAAAAATTTTTTACCGCCTTCTCAATTTTGATGATATTTTTTATGTTGGTTGCATTTCTTTGTTTGATAGCAGGTAATAAATTTTCACTATTATCAGTGTTGTCAATTGTGGATCTCAGAAAATAATAATTTGTTCAAATTTCATCACGCTACAGTGCTGTAGCTCTACTAAACATCTTTTTGACAACACTTTATGCCCAATCACACATTGCAGAACAATAGTGATTTGTTAAAATTCTACCATGCTATAACGTCTCTATAACCGCTATATTTTAACACTTGAGTGTTATACCTTTCATGATGGTTGATGTCTTAATCACCCTTATTTTGTTCTGGGAATTGAATTGATTCACTGAATTTTATCGCACCTTTTTTTAGTTGATGTCTTAATAATAATAACCCTTGTTCCGGGAACTGAATTGATTCATGAAATTTTATAGCACCTTTTTTTAGTGACTTATCTTTTATACTCCCCTTCTCAAAAATCATGTGATAACCTCATGAATACATCTTCACTCAGTGTACTTGCTGTAGCTATACTCTATTGTTGCTCAAAGTAAAAAACTGCAAACTAATGCAATTGAAATCATAAAACCATATCGTTTGGCATCATGCAAATGTTTTTAAACTTGTAATTTATAACACAGTTTGAGGGTAAACTTGAAATTTGAAAAAAATACTAATTTTTGTATGTTAAAGCATAATATTGAATTTATAAATTTAAAATAAAACAAAATTTAGTGTTTGATAATAAAATGATACTGATTGTTAATTATATAATTGTGTTACTAAATAGGTTAATCTATAGCAACTTTTGATAGTAAAATCTATATTAAGATTAAATGGAGTTTAATTCTCTACCCAATAAATTAGTCAGATCTGCAAACTTGCATCATATTTAGATTTAGTATGCATAACACTAGTTTGCCTCATTTGGATTCATTTGTTTCATACATTTATAGAATTATTCAAACATAAAATTTGTTGAAAATCTTAATCTGCGCTGTAACATTGTTTCTTTGGATGCAGGCTTTGGCCAGGCTAGCAGAAGAAATAGCTAAATCTGGTATTCCAGAAGGTTCGAGGAAGATCAATGGAAAGTACATTCATACTCACCTTGTTGCTAGATTAAAAGGTACTACTTACCCTGCACCACCCGTATATGGCACATATGTGTACTTCTGGACTGCATTGCAATTTCTTCCTCTTTTATATCCTTATTGATGCATTTTTTGTTTGTTTTTTCCTTCATAGCTGTACACGAACAATTAAACGAGCAAATAAAGGATGTTGATGCGGCACAATCGAAGGAGGTCTCTGTGTTTTGGGTCGGCATGGCTGAGGTAAACATATATGCAAGAATAGACTTACAAATATTGAGAATGTAGTTTGAAATTTTGTACCACGGTATTAAAGGAATAACCTAGATCAAGCTTACGAGTTACGAGAGCTTGCATAATCCGTTCCATAGCATATAAGATGCTTGTAACTAACTAGTGACAGCTATTATTCAATTATCTACTTAGAACCTACCAGAGCAATCTATAAATAGTTTGATCGCACCATTGTATATACAACTGTGAAATCCTTATAAACAAAATTCAAACCAAATAGTTTCAATCTCTGCAATTTACATAATTCTAACATGATATCAAAGAGTGGTAACGATCCAGTGCTCTCTTCCCAAACTTCTCTGTTGCAAAGTGGAGCAGCGCCACCACCATCGCTGATTTCCTTGCTTAGTCGTCACACTCAAATTCGTTTTCCGCTAACTCTGAAAAACACGTTACTGAGAGTTACCACCAATGGTGCCACCAGTTAGAACCTGTTACCAATGCTCATAAGCTTCAACATTTCTTGGAAAATCCTGCAATTCTGTGAGGTACGCAACAATTGAAGGTGCTGAAGCAATTTGTATCTCCAAAGAATTCTAAACATGGGAGCAAGCATCAATTGCTCCTTGTTTGGCTTTAATCAACGATTTCTTGCGAAGTGCTTCGTGGCGCAAGAACCACACATATTTTCAAACTCATGTTAAGCAAAGCTTTGCCAGCTTCGTTCTGAATTACTGTAACACGAAACTATAGAATTACTTTGTTTCAGAGTTCCTTCTCAAGTCTGAGTTTAAAATTGGCTCAATTCATGCCGTTGGCAAATCAATTTCAGCTCACAAACACTTTGATGTCATTCTTGAAGGACTGCATCACGACTACGGAGTCCACAATTTCATTCTTCAGTGGAAAATCTGGTTCAATTTCATCCAAAGAGCTTGAAACCTTACTTCTAGGCCACGAAGCTTGTCTTACGTCTTGCAAATTAGCATTACCTTAAGTCAATCTTGTCTCCTCTGCAAGTCCTAACACATACACCAATGATAAGCAGTCTATCTCTCCATCTGAAGAAACTGATTATATGATATATTATGATTCATTCAGTAGGCTTAGGGTTCATGGTTGGACAGGGAAGTGGTCACAATTTTTTTCAATGCCAAGTGTGTCACATATATGGTTACGGTGCTTCTCTTTGCTTCCATCATTTCAAAAAGGACTTTGTACCAACAATTCCTCTAAAACCAAAATCGATAAAACAGTAGTCTCACTAAGATCCACATCTCTTGGTGTCAAAAGATCCACATCTGGTGCTTGTGTATTCTTAGGTCAAAACTTGATTTCTTGGCAGGCTAAAAAGCAACCTGTTATATCAAGGTCTAGTAAAGAAGCTGATTGCAGAAGCCTTGCCCTGGCTATGATGGGAAGGCAACTAGTGATAAGGGTAATATGGGCAAACCCAAGCTATAGAGGATTTATAAAAGGAAGGCTAAGAAGACTACTGTTATCCTTTATCATCAATACCATACTATATTTACTTCAAGTGCATCTGTTTCTACATCTTGCCTGTGCTCTACTTGCTGATTCGGGTTGCAGGATCAATTGATCTCTACCTTCATGCCTCAGAAATCCCGATGGATTCAGTCTCTCATTAGGCTAGGTGTTCCATTTTGAACTCGTACAGTCTTCTGTGAAGACATGAGTACCATTGCTCTTGCACACAATCCAATACTCTATTCTCGTACCAAACACAGAATTAGACTTGTTCTTTATCGGGGAAAAGCTCCTTCACAAGAATCTCTTGGTCATTTATGGTCCTAGTCACTCACGATATGCTGATATTATGCCCAAGTTTGAAGACCTTCGTGCCAAACTCAATGTGCACGACTCCTCCCTACACTCAATTAAGCTTGCAGGGCGTATTAGACTCTGTTAAGAAATGTGGATGGGTCTAATTCAACCCTATAAAACTGACTTTTAGGACGAGAATTGCCCAACTTATAAGCACATGTTCAGGTCATATATTGTCTGATTTGAGACTCTATTTCAAGCTCGGAGAGCATGTATAGTCTCTCGCATAGCATATAAAATGCTTGTTACTAACTCTTTTTGTCTGTAACTAACTGAAAACTATCATTCAGTTATCTACCTAGAACCTACTAGAGTAAATCTATAAATAGATTGATCACCATTATAAATGCAACTGAGAAATCATTACAAACAAAATTCATACCAAATAAATAGTTTCAATCTCTGCAATTTACATGATTCTAACACAAAGTCAAACTGTTTTGATATAAGCTTTAAGCTGTTATCATAAGCTACAATGAAGAGCTTACATAAATAAGCTGAAAACAACCTATGTGCATTGTCAAAAAGTATTTCCTTAAACTCTCAAACAATCTCAAAAGTTCTTATCTTTTGCAAAGTTTTTTCATCATTATGTATTATGATCTGACTTCCTCACTTCAGAGGGTAAAATAAAAGTAAAATCATTTCAACTTTTAGATGAGAAATATTTCAACATATTGATAATTTGCTTTGAACTTATGTTTCTATCAGAGTGTACAAATTATGGGCAGCTTTGATGGCTGGAGCCAAGGAGAGCACCTTTCACCAGAGTATACAGGTTCTTTCACAAGGTTCTCAACAACATTGATGCTCAGGCCTGGAAGGTACAGTTTTATCAACTCACTCAACCTTTCAAATTGAGCTTAATTAATTTTCTTCCAATTCACAAAAACCAAAAATTATTGTTATCATCCAGGTATGAAGTCAAATTCTTAGTAGATGGTGAATGGCACCTATCAACAGAGTTACCTGTAACTGGTGAAGGGTTAACCAAAAATAATTTGCTAATTGTTGAGTGAGTAATAATTGTTGTTTAATCATAAGTCCTTTTTATAAGCTAACAACTCTATCTTTACCACATATACTATTGTAAATGTTAATGAAATGTGTTATATCTGTCACATCTTTAAATTAATTTTGAAAAATTGAAATGAAAATTAAATCTAAAACAAAGTTGAGTTAAATGGAGACTAATTTTTTACAATTAATTTCGATAGGAATGCATGAACTATCAACACAATTACATCATGTGCACATTACTTGTTATATTATTATTATCATTATAAATAGCAACATTGGTGTCCAAGCACGCTAACATTTTATGTATATTTTTTAGTTTGTCTCATTCATTCCACTTATGACAATTGCAAAAAGATATCGTGCATTATATAAATAAATGAACATTTTTAAATAATAACTAATTAAAAATTATATTAAATGTCAACTTTATAATATTTGTTGGTGAACGCAAACCAAAAAACGACACATCTTTCGTGCAATAGACCAATACCTACCTGTTTCATGCAGCATTTCCTAATAAATATTTAAACAATTAGATTGAGATCTATCTGTTTCACAAATTATTTATATCTTTTTCTTTAAAAAGTAAAAGTATCTAATATACAATCAATTTATTCAACTAAACAATTCTACATCTTTTAACCAAATAGATCTCACTGATAGTTTTTACATAATTATATTTTAAAATAATTTATTTATCAAATTATAATATTTATTTGTGAAATATTAAACTATAAATTACAAAGTTTATTTGCACTACTTTTTTTTAAATAATTTAAAAGTGTAAAAAAGTTAATTTGGATGAATTGTGCATTATCTTTAAAATGACGGACAAATAGATAAAATTATATAATTATAACAAAAAATTAATTTTTATGACTATCAGGCCCAAAACATTCTTAGATACATTTCAGAGTCTACTTGAAGTTGTTGATGAGTTTGTCTATCACGAAGTTATGTTCAAATTTTAGGAATGGTGTCATCTAATTAGAATTGATCAGAATGGATCTTCGTGACCTTCAATGTAGGGCAGTAACAATGATTGTAAGGGGGGGGGGGGGGGGGGTACTTACAAGGTACTTCAAAACAGGAGCCCTCCAAGTCGTTGCTATGAGTTGAGGAGTAATGACTTTGAGTTAGCCTAGTTGGTCGACCGTTGGACAGGAAACGCGTCGCGGAGAGCTAGAGGGACTTGTTCTGAGGAATGTGAAAGGTCAGTCTTGAAAGCGCCAACTGAAAGCTTCCTCTTTTGTCACGTGTGGAGGCGTAATCAACTTTGTTAAGGTCTAGGCTGGCTAGGCAATGATGACTTTTGCCCTTTTGCGCTTCCCCTATGTGAGCAAGTGCTTATAAAAAGGAGGGGAAAAAGATATTCCACTTCAATTTCACACTTCACGCAATTTCTCTCTTCTACTTCTTTTGCTCTGCAACACTTTTTTGTCGACGTACTCTTCGCCGCTGTCAGTCCCCCTTTTCTTTTTTCCAGATCTTCATCTTCAACATTCTTACTCAAGTAAGTTCTTCATCTTTGCTTGTTAGAACACATGAAATTTCTGGAAATTAGCTTGAATTTCTCGGCGAAGCATGAATTTTTCCGGTTGAAGTTCATTGCGTTTCTTTGATGAACACATGAATTTTTTTGGGAAATTCATTGAATGCCCTAAAGAACCTGAATCTAGGATGTTGTTGAAGGAAAAATTTGCGATCTAAACGCAGCGGAAAAACAAAATTTTCCTTTAGTGATCCTTACGAATGAGCATGGTCAGTGATAGAAATCGTTTACCTCTTTGTGGCGATTCAGATCTTTGATGCAGCGATCACAAGCGTTGATGAAGTGAACGCCTCTACTCCAGTCCACACGAACAACTTCCGGTCACAGTGCTAGCTGCTTACGAACGGAATTATTTGAGTGAGAAAAGAGAATCAAAAAACGAAATTGCATCAAGTGAAAGCTTCATCACAAGGGTTCCTTTTATAGACTCTCTTGTGGGCTGCGGGCTAAAACCCAATTCCACATGATCCATAAATAATATTATATTATTATAATAAACTATTATTATATAATAAATATATTTATTTTATTATTATTTTTATAACCATTATAAAATAACAATAATTATTATTATATTTATCCGAATTTCTACTTTTCACTTAAGTGCACCGTACCTTACGGTGTTCCTTTGATTTCTCTATCTCTCATCAAACTGTCCTTATGTGTGTGACCCCTGTAGGATTTCGTAACGTTGGTAATTATATTAAATTATATATTTAACATAATAAACAGTAAGCGGTATCTAGCAACACACACTCTACTGCTACCCAAGTCACCGGAAAATGTCATGTGATCTGACAAAAACCTTTTTCGTGATAATATATGTTTGTACAATTACCCTTTTGCCCCCTATGTCTATATTGAACACAAGGCAATACACTGTGTCATCCTTGTCCAGTTCAATATTGGGGCCCCTTAGGACATTTCTCCTGTTATGCAGGATTGGCAAATTTCCATCTAGGACACTCATGTCCCCTCAGCATGCTTCGTTGGAGT